AGGTAATTGACCAAGAAAAGGATTCATATGTTCAAGAATGCACGAAGAAGCAGGAAAGGGACTGAGAGGTGCTGTGTAACTGAAAACAGTTAACACAAAGAGGTAAGACAAGGGAGTAAGAATCAGAATGGAGCAGATGAGGGGGAGCTGGTTGGACAAGTGACTGTGGATAAGGAACCAAGGTGGAATGGGAGGAGAATTAGAAGTAAGTGGCTTAGGACAGTGCAAGGAAGAGGTAAGGTTTGAAATAGGACAAGTGGCCTGGGCCCCAGCTGTAAATAACTGGAGGCTATTAGGATCAGGATATCGAGTGTTGAAGTTTTGGGATAAAAGAGGGTAAGAATTTAGCCAGGAGCCAAATGGTATGGAAAGAGTTGTTAGAGATTGGGAAAATTTTGCTGGCGGAGGAGGGAGTTAAGGCAGAAGTCCTTTGCCTGGACAGACATTATCCAAGATTTCAGGGCGTGGGAGTGCCCCTGTTTGTGTGCATGTATGTCCTGCTGTTTGTGCTACTCTTATGCTGAGTAAAGTGAAGCTCTGTGCTTCCTGCTGGTGAAGTTAGCCATTCTGTGGCCCAGAACTCACCAACTCGGCTGTAATCACGTGGCCAGCAGTGTGAAGCTGGAATTCCTGTTCTTTATTTGTCCTTTTTTTTTGAAAAATCAGCTACCAGTCGCAGGGGAAGAATGAACTGGAAGACAACTGTATGCTTGACTCTACAGGCTCAGAGTTGAGAAATGTGAGAATCCACTATATTGCAGGAGAGGCTGGGTGTTTCAGTCTCTCAGGTTTTTTTGACATTACAAAGTGGTTGAATAATTAAATTTTCTTTCTGTCAGGTTGGAAAATAGAACATCACCATACAATATAAGCACTTTAGACTTTTTATTATATAGGCTTGGTTATGTAGAACTTTTCCTTAGGAATGCATCTTGCATTTGCACTAAAAAGGAAAATTAACTATAGGTGGCACATCTGATTCCTTCGTCTTACAATGTGCTTCAAGACTTCCTTTGAAGAGTGGGTTTTAGCTTCATATACCAAGTTTTTACTTCCAAATTGGAAAGGAAAAGTTGAATTTCCTGTTTTGTCTTAAGGGAGGCTTAATGTTTTAACAGCTGTTAAGCTGAACTAGTTTAACAAAATATATAAAGCAACTTCTGTGTACTTGGAGAAGAAGCTTTTTAAAGCTAGCTAAACATGTCAGAATATTCTTGTTTCCAAAACTTTGCAAGTTTTTCCAGTTAGCAGACTAAAATTTCAGTAGTTGTTATTATGTGTATTTGTTAACATTTTAAATATACTTGTTGATAAATTACACGGGTGTATGCTGCAAGTTGACATAATTCTGCATGTTGCAATGTGTTTAGGCTTGCTCAGAGAAAAATTGTTTTGTTTTAATTTTTATTGGCCTTAAAACTGATTCTCACTTCTATTTCTACTGTTAGAGAAACAAATACAGTAGAGATGTTCTTTTCATACAGTTTAAAATCTGGCAGGCTGTTACCATTATGGGGTTACAGAGAATGCTGCTTTGAGCTAATATTTGTGAACACTCCTTGTCAGAAGTTCTAAATTGCTAGCAACAATTCTGGTTTTCATTTAAATCTCGTCTTCATAAAATAACACCATACACTCTCCTGTTGCAAAAGACACAGTTTGGAAAAGCTAGGAACATGGAAGTTTTGTGAGACAATTAAATCAACAGTCATTTAGGGAAAAAGGATCAGAAGCCATCTAAGCTGCACCTGATTCATGCTTGTACTTCTAAATCTTTCAGGTCCACATGTTAAAAATAACTCTAAAAATAATTCAGAGCTTGGTTTGCAGCAGTTCTGAATTTTTATCATTTCTTGTATTTTTATTTGGAAAGATGACCCCTCCAGCCTTGCCCTCAGGCACTAGGGTTGAAGTTGTATTACTTCTTTCTTTTTTTTTTCCATATTTTCATCTCTGTGTGTGAACAAAATAACTGATGACAAACTTCCACTCTCTTGATTGTTAAAAAATGTAGTGGTGTAAATAGTAGCTGGTAGCAAAATTGCTATCATAGCTGATAGCAATGAGTTTGTCTTTTAACAGTCAGTAAATACACAGGAAGAATAAAGGGAAGATGTGAGTCAGCTTTTGTGACAAGAGCACCTTTTTTCCT